AAAATCGATAAATTTTAACTAAACGAAAAAGACGTACAATTGATTTAAAACCAATTGATAAATAAAGAAAATCTAATGGCATTAAACAAAGACAATCAATATAAAATCTTGTTGTATTCATATAATAATGACGTAATTTAATTGGATCTGTTTGTAAAACACCTTCTTCTAAATAAGCTGTACGAAAATTAAACATAATATCCATTAAATAAAGAAAATCACATAAATAATCAAATATAAACCATAATATAAAATTATCAGATGTTAATTCATGAAATGAAAAACGAAATATAATAATCCAAAAATTATAAAGAAATGCAAGACTTATAATTGATGTCCAATAATATGATAAACGACCACTTGGATCAAATATAAATGTAAAATGTGAACGATGTGTTGTTGTAGGATGTAAATCAAATTTTTCAAAACGAGCTTTTATATCTTGTTTACGAGCTTTACGTAATTGACGAGATTGACGAATAAAATCACCTGAAATTATTTTTATTAAAAAAATTTTTAAATTTAACAAAAAAAAAGTCTATTCGAGAAAATAATTAGTCTATTATTAAAGTCTTCAAAATTATAATTTGTTGATCTATTATTGTTCAAGAAAAATGAAAATAGTCCATTAGAAATTTCCTGTCTCAATTCTATTAGTCATATTTATTTTTTTTTGTATGATGTATTTGACGGTTTTTCTTTATTCGTCAATTCTTGTCCCTATGGACTAAGTCAATCAAGATTTATCATGTTGATGTATTATTAGTTGTCATCGTTTAGAAATTTTTACCTTGATAAGCAGAAAATATATTTCCATTATCAGTTGATAATCGTTGTTGTGCTAAAGCTAATGCTGTTGTTGAACTTTTTCGTACAGCTGTTAATGTTGTTGCAAGTGTATCAAATATTGATTGTCTTGATGCTGAATGACGATTAGTTGGTGGATGTGAAGAATATGTTGATGAACGTTGATGTATACTTGTTCGTTTTGAAAGAGAATGAATGGATGCCAAACTATCACGTGGATTTTTTGTTTGAGGAGAAAAAGTCGAAGAAGACGAAGAAAATTTTATTGGTTTAAAACGTGTAGTTGATTCAACAGATGATGATACATGACCACTAGTTGATGTTAAAGGAATTCGATTTTTTAATAATGATGTATGATGATTGGATGAAAATAATGGTAATGATGATTTTTTAGTTTTTGATGGTGAAATTGTAATTTCACATAAATCATCATCAACAATTGATGAAGATGCTTGTTGAGATGATTTTATTGACGAAAGACGTGAAATGTCATTGTCAACATTTGAATTGCACACTTGATAGTGTATTGACGGTTTGAACGATGATGCTTGAGCCATGCCATCACGAATGTAATACCCAAATACAGGGCAATTGCAATTTACTAATATCTAATAAGCAGAAAGAGAGAAATTCCTTTTTTTTTTTTCTTCTCTTCGTATGTACAGTTGATATTTATAAGCCCTACAGTTTATTACCATGTCATCAAAGCGGAAAAAAACTAGGACAGTGTAATAAGACTGTAGGCAATTGAAAATCAATCTCCAAAACAGCAAATCTTAAAGTCTAGATGAATAGCTCGAAGGATATAATGTAAGATTTTTCTTTTGCTACTATTTTAGTTATAAAGACATAGAGGCCATCTGATATAATCGTTTAGTAAATGTCATTATGTATTTGACAGCTGTCCATCTTTTCTATTTTTACCCATCAATGAAGACAAATATAATGAAAGGGGAAATAATTATTGTAAGTCTTAAAAGACTTGTCAATAGAAACATTTAGAAAAGAATATTAGACAATTAGGTTTATGTAAAAAAAAACAAAAATGTAAATATTTATTTACTTATTATTTGTTTTTGATTGGAAGTATTTTGTTGATCATAGTTAATTATGATTAACATGTAAATGTAAAATAACAATAATTTCGTTCAATTTATATCTATATTTATATATATATATCTATAATAAAATAGAAATGTACATACTGGCATTAAAAAATGTGTCGAGAAAGAAAGAAAGGAAGAAAAGGAAAAAAACGATTAGTTTAAGTAGCATGTCGAATTTAGTCTTTCTAGAATATATTTGCAAGTGTTTTTTGTTATTGACAAATGTAGATTTCTAACGGATAAAATTAAATTAACACACACACACGAGACGAAGCAAATTGGAGGATTACAATGCGGTGCAAACTTGATGACGTTTGAAGAGAACACAAATCATTTAAACCGACACCCGAGTATCACATTTGCATTCAACTATTGCAAACGTTTGTCAAGAGGCAAAAAAAAAACTTTGCTTGATGATGAACGAGAAATACGAAGAAAAAAAAAGGGAAGACAGAAACAGAGAGAGAGATGTTGATGAAGAAAATGGGCACAGCAAGATCTAGCACGCACCATTACCACTTCTCAAGAAAAAGTTTTTCATTTCCGGAGCGAAGGGCAAGTGCGATGTGCGTGCTCTTATTAGTAATATTACATTATTGAAAGTACTATTACTAATCTTTTTCTTCTTATAACGTTCTAAACAATCTCTGAATGATTTTTTTGAGAGATCAGAGTAAAAACTTGTGTCTTTATTTTTTGTCTAAAACTAATTAATCTTTACGACAATGATATTAACTGAACTGTTAACTTGTTTTACTTTGAATTGAATAGAAATTGTGTCTTTATATTAATAGAAAAAGAAAACCGGAAAAAGTCTACTATGGAAAAAAAAATACATGTTAATATATGATCATAAAAGCTTTCTTTTCCTTTTTCTCTTATATAATTTTTATATTAGTTTGTTAGATATTTTATTAATAAACAAGAAAAGAAAAATTTTCTTTCAATTTTGTAAATCTTTACATGTTTGTCAACGAGAGAAAAA